AAGTATAGCTTATTTTAGACTAACCAGATCCCAAATAATTAAATCCACACCATGTGACCAGTGACTGTTGTATTGGGCAGTGCACTTGGAGAGCCACACATAACCAGTGGCTGTAGTGTTGGACAGTAGCTGTTGTATTGGTAGTGGCTGTGGTATTTGACAGTGCAGATGGAGAGCCTCTCCCTTTTCATTAAAGTTGTTTCTTTAATCAAGAAATACCCTTAAGCCAGATGTCATGCCTCTTTCTTGTAATCCCAGTGCGTGAGAGGCTAAGTAAGATTAGCATGAATTAAAGACTGGCTTGGGCTGATTAGATCCTGTCTCAAAAGGAAAGAAAGAGAGACAAACAATAAATTAAATAAATAAATAAATAAATAATAGGTAGGTAGGTAGATAGATAGATAGATAGATAGATAGATAGATAGATAGATAGATAGATAGATAGACAAATGAAAAAAGAAAGGAAGGAAGAAAGAAAAGAAAGAGATGAGAAGAAAGTAGAAAAGAAGGAATGGAGAGAAGGAAGGAGAACGTTTAGGAAGCAAATATCACATTACATAAGAAACCAAGCTGTAAGTGAGGCCTATGCTTGACTGTTTCTTTCTGGGTGTTTAGTGTTGAAATCTGAGTTCATTTAACCAAATGTACTGTCCTACCCTTCCTAACAAACCCATTAAAACCACTTTCCCTGTTTAATCTGTTAATACATGGAAGGAGTCTGCTGAGTCTTACAGCCTAGTGGGAGTTGTCAATTTTTCCACTTTAGTTCAATTCATCTGGAATACATAGGTCCTCAGGCTTTTCTTTATTTAATTTGATTTATTTGCATTCTTGTAACATCATTACAACTGCTACAATGTTCCAACAGCTTGTGGGTCAGGGTTAAGAAAATACACACAGCTTTTGAATATTCTGGTTTGACCATTGCTAACTGCTTTCACAGTTCGGAGATAGATGACTTTCCAGGGTCTTGATGTCGTCATTGTCAAGAGGGATACTGGTAGCAGACAGTCATTGTATTGTAGGGAAGATAAAATAGTGTATGTGCTGTAGTTTGGGTACAATATGAGGTAACCTCTCATAAGGTTAATGTGTTGGAGGCTTGGTCCTCAATGTGGTGGTTCAGTTGTGGCATATGTTATTGGAGACCCTGACCATTGCAGAAATTAGGCACTGCCATCAGAGGACCCTGGCATTCTCCTGAGAATTGTTCTAAAAATAAAGACAAATTGAACCTCCCCTTTCCCTCAATTCCTGTCTACTAATAATATGATGTTAACTCTCTCAGACACACTGTCAATATTATGGTAGTCTTTTGCTTGGAGAATCTCACCAGAGCCAAGATAATATCAGAAACATGACCCTGTGCCTCCACAACCATGAGTAAAATGAACCTCTTTCCTCAATATGGTACACAAAATCAGATATTTCATTATAATATTTTTGTTACAGTACTTTAAAGCATCAAAATTAGTCTCTAGATTTAGCATACTCTCTAATATGTGGTGTGATATATCTTGAACTGATAAGAAGTATGTTATTATTATTGTTATCATTATTATTATTATGATATAATGTCAACTGACAATAACAGATTTTCTTATTAAAATCCATGTTTTCTGTTATTAATAGTGTTTTCCAAGATTTATTTTGTTATGGTATATAGTACCATTTCTAGAATGATATTTCCATCCTGAGCATTTAAATGTCCCATGATTCAGGTCTTGATACATTTATTTTATATGGCATTTAGTATGTTAGCTTGCATAAGTCACTACTTCAGCTATCAATATAAAGTTGTTCCATGACTATTCTCTTTAGAGACACATCTGTGTTCCCATGATTCTGAATTTTATCTATAAATGTATGATTTGATTATTTTTTCAGTGCTTTCAAAGTATATTTCTATTTCTCTTTTATTAACATATATTAACTGCACACAATAATGTGTCCATCAATATGATAGCTCCATTCATGTTCTCTCTGTCCCTCCCCCACTCTCCTGAGTAATCACTTTTGACATCAAGTCTTCAGTTATAATAGCATCCACATTTAAAGTATATATAAGATGTATTTCTTTCAATGTCTAGCTAATTTTATTTAAAAAAATGTTTCCCTTGGATCTATATTCCATTGTTTTCATTGAGAAGTCATATATTGGTCTATTGTTTATTCTTTTTCACATTTTGATCAATGGCCTTCATGTTCCAGGTTGCTTTTAAGGTCTTTTCTCGGTCTTCCATCTCCCTGAAGATTCCAGCTGATGCCTGATGTCCAGTTGGCCTCCTTATAGCTGGTACATAATAGCATGGGAACTATTTTCACAGATCTCAGCCCCCTGTTGATTGTCATGTCAATCAATACCTAGAGCATCCATCCCAGTTTCTCTGTTTTCCCTTGAGTGTACATGCAGATAGGGCTTCATGGGAAATTCCCAGTCAATTCTGAATTAGAATTATTCTTCACTTGGGGTCTATCTGTTAGTTATCAGAAGTACATATCAGTGTCTAGATACTATTCTCAGAGTGAACAATTAGTTTTACTTTTTAATACACTTTTCTTCCACTCTGTTTTTTTCTACCAAAAAGTAAAAGTATAAAATTCATGAATGTAATTAGTGACCTTTCTCTTATGTTTGAACAAAACACATATTAAAAGTTACATTGTTGTTTTTAAAATTTTTTTATTTATTTGCTTCAAAAATATTTCAAAAGTTTTCTGTTGCTAAATCTATTAACTATAACTTTTTATTTTTTGTTCTAATTTATTTTGCCAATATCTCCTTCAGCACAGGAGTCCATAAAATTTCTTAATATATTTCTGGTCCATCCATTTTTTTCTTATTGACATTCGCTTTTAATTTATTTGCATTTCCTTTAGAGAAATGACTTTAGGAATCTCATTTGGTTTTTATTCCAGTTACAATGCAATGTTTCTAAAATTATATTCTGAGTAATTCATTCCCTTACAATGCTTTAGAATTGCAGGTCAGCATCAGCCATAGAGATAGCCCTCTACTTACCATTTTTTGAAACAGGGAGATCACCCACTGGTCTGGGCTGGATGTGCAGTAAGCACCCTAAGATACTTTGTCTTTGCCTCTCCAAAACTGTTATTACAGCAGTGTTCTGCCACACCAAGCTTATTACATAGGTCCTGGAGATCTAAATTCAAATCCTTGTGTTTAAGCAGTAAGCACTTTACCCATATATCCACTTACCCAGCCCTGAAAGACTAGTTTTCTCAAATTACAGTAACTTTCTTTTCTGCTTATTTTTTCATGTTGTTTTGCTGTTTTAATAGCCTCTCTATTATGTTTCAAGTTCTTAGAGCTTCAATGAACTCAGGGCTGTACTAGAATACAACCTGTATCAATGCAAATATTCCTATGGATTTTCTTTATGAATATTCTAGCATACTACTGTTTTCTAGTATACTTTAAACATCCTTCAATGAGTATAAAAAGATATGCTTCTACTAAAACTGTTAAGCTCTTGTGTTAGTTTTACAAAACTTTTTTTCTCATTGACAGCTCTATTCACACAATTGTTTGCTTCCTACCTTAAAAAAAAAAAGTGTGTTAGTGCTTGTCAGTGGGCTTTATAGGCACTTCATGTGGATCCTACATGTTTATTCCTAAGATAAGTGCATTTAGTATCCAATCTTTTTGTTTCAGAAAACTGCACACATAGTCAGAAATAGAGACAGCAGTGAGATAAATGCCATTGAACCTACTATCTGCATTGAATAACATTCAATTCAAGTTTGTCATACTTCACTTCAAATCAAAATCACCTTTTTAATTTGAAGACAATTAAAAGACCATGGTGATTTTGAGTGCCCGTGCTTCATTAAAAATGATAAAAAACAAGCCAGGCGGTGGTGGCGCACGCCTTTAATCCCAGCACTTGGGAGGCAGAGGCAGGCGGATATCTGTGAGTTTGAGGCCAGCCTGGGCTACCAAGTGAGTTCCAGGAAAGGCGCAAAGCTA